CAGCGCTTTTAGCGGCTTCAGTGCAGTAGAACTTGCACGGAGGCCAGAGAGCAACGAGGTGTATTTGCGAAGATACACACCAAAACACAAGCGGTAGACCTTGCTCATGTCTTCCACCTCACACATGCTCTTGAGTGCGTCGCATGGTTTGGATTTGGTCCTAAATTTGTGCGACTTGGAAATCTCCACATTTTGGAGTGACAAACCAGCCGTATCCGCATCAATGCGGGCCCTCACCCATTCAGCAAACTCCTCGCTCTCCTTGTCAGTGGGAGGTTCACGTAGGGAAGGAGGTTTCTGCGGGGAAGCTTGCGATAGCGCTTCGAGTCCTGCAACACCGCGCCTGCGATCACCACGGTTACCAGTTGCCAGGGCACCTCTTTCCGGTGTAGTAGGGGCATGTGACTCCTGCGTTGAGAAATCGATGTGGCGTAGCATCGCACCCTTTCCCTCAACAGGCTCCGGGCAATCCTTCAAGAAGGACATAGTATTGGCCCATTTTGCTGGGTCAGTGGTAGTGATTGGTAGAACCCTGAACAGCTCCCAGAAACGCTTGCAAACCGCACGGCTCATGGGAGTCATAGTCCAGCTTTCGTTCTCCCAAAATTTTCTCTGAGCAGGGCTGCATAATGGGGAACATCGCTCACGGCGAAGTGAATTGATCTTCGCCTGCATCTCCTGTTTACGTCCTTCTGGCAGTGTGTCAACATCAGTGATCAATCACATCCTCGGGCGCTTCCCAAACCACAACCCGGAACTCCCTAGGCAAGTTGTTGAACAGCTTTTTGAAGCCTTGTGGACCCAAAGATTGCAGGCAGATATCTACATGTTTGCACAATTGCTCTTGGTCCATGGCATCCACCTCGGGTTCGTGATTGGCTCCAGTGTGGCTGGAGCGGTGACGATGACTTCGCCGATGGGATCGTGAACGGGGCCTCTGCACCGGGGACCTGGGAGACTGCCACGAACCATACTGTTGACCATAGGTACCTTGTTCTGAGGGATGAGGGGGCATCGACGGGTGCGTGGCATGCCATGGGTTCCCACGCGCAGGCGCCTGATATTGCAAGTGCCCTTGCTGAGGTACCGTGCCCCCATACCCACCAGACTGAGCGAAGTGTGGGCTGGACGAAGCATGAGTGGGTCGATCCTGCGAGGCCTGCTCATGTCCTTGAGTTTCATACCTCCAATGCTGCATGGACGCATTTGCTCCGACACCGTAAGCGCTGTTTCCCATGTGCTGCACATATCCTGGCACACCCGCGGTGTATGCATGTGCGTGGTAGCCTGCAGTTGAGTAGTTGGACATGGCCGCAACTCTACCCGAGATCCACTAGTTGGGTGTGCAAGGGGAAGCTTTGAAAACAAAACATAGCCCACGGTACAGGCTGTGCATAGGCAGCAGTTGAACGTCACATGCTGGCGAATGATTTCAAACCTTTTCAAAACGGCATGCATACATGCACTCCACAAGCTGCATGCGAAAAGCAGTCGCGAAAAGCAGTCACTCTAGACACCACATGTAAGCATTGCATTTTTGATTTGTCACCAATCATGCATCAATGCAATCCGACATACACACGTCCAGAAAACTCTTATCTTCTTTTTTCAGATAATGTAGGGGTTCGTTCAACACCATGCACATGTTGAAGCCACCACTGCTTCAAGGTGGGACAACCCACCACTCAGCTCCCATCAGTAAGCCCGACCACAGGCAAGAACAAGCCTACCCCAGGGAAACCACCTGGTGTCCACACAGTGGCACAGGCCAGAACATATGAGAGAGTTTTACATCAATATGCA